AAAGGATGGGATAAAGTTACTAGCCCTCCTGGAGGTCCTGTCTGGACAGAAATTGGTAAGTTTTCTCAACAACGATAACATTTACATATGAGTTTACAACCAAAAAGAGTGGTTTTGGGCAATGGTGTAACTTGTTTGATCACACTTTATTCGTTTTGTTATAACTATTAGAGAGTGATGGTTTTACTCTTTGAGGTCAATTGATAAGCTGATGCAAGTGCTCAGGGCTGAAATCTCACAGCACTGCAACAAGAAGTGCTGGAGATCTTCCAGTAATTGGGGAATGTAACATGAAGGATTTGTCCAGTGAGTTACTCAAGCGCTTGGAGAGGATTTTGCAAGATGACAAACAACTTACATTTGCCCCAGGGAGGAAGCTGTCATCAAAGAAGGAAATTAGAAAAAGTGAGAGTGACACCAAACTAGATATGAACTAGATAGGACTGATGTTTTGTAAACTTTGAAAAGCCCTGGTCCTACTCTGGTCATCTTATCCAGTTCAACTGTGTAACGTCAAAGGGAATACAGTAAAATACAGATGGTATATGTTGGGCCTGAGCTACATGAAAACAAGGCCATATTTCGGTTGACCTATAAGGGGTGCAGTCAGCTCAACCTCCTTAACATCGATCCCAGCTCAGCCTCCTCAATATTGATCCTCCTTTCCCCAGCCTTGTGAGCAAGGCCGTCAGCTCAAGAGGATCCACTGGGTGTCCAATGTTGGCACGGCGCTCAAGTTTCTGGAGAGCAGGAGGGTAAGTGTTGCTTTTGGGACGTGCTGTTTAATGTGGCCTGTGGATATATGCATCATAATCTCTCTAAGACAGTGTTTCCCAATCCGGTCCTTGGGGACCCCAGACAGTCCACGTTTTTGCTCCCTCTCAGCTCCCGACACGGACTGTCTGGTTCCCTTCGACCAGCTTGGAAAACTCTGCTATAAGAGAAGCGGCAAATTTTTTGATGATATTTGGTATTTCAGGTATTCCTGAATCTATCTATCTATCCATCCATCCATCCATCCATTATTTTACATTTTTACATTGCAGTTTTATGTTTTGTTCTGACACTTTTTTGATAATTTTTTTTTCTTCCTGAAATTTAACAAGTATGATGTACAGGAAGGTATATCTGAGCTTTCAGCATAGGAATGGGATCGGCCACCATGAAACTGGGAAATGTGTATTACTGTAATTTTATCAGCTGCCGCTCAGTGGGTTTAACTTGTGCCAGTGACAGCTGAACGAAAACTTTTTCGTTGTCTTTCAGGCTGCAGACGATTGTTTTCAAAGGCACTTGGCTTTGTGTTCTGTTTGGGTTTTGAGCTGATAGTGGGTAGCAGCTAATATTAAAACTGTGAATTGCACTGTAAACACAACAAGAATATGGCAAGATTATTGTCGCAAGATTTCCTTGTCATTTGAATTGAACAAAACAGAGTATTATTTATTCAGTTTTGTTCATATGCTGGTTAGTTGCTTTTCTTTATGCTATTACATAAGTCATTTTTAGGAAGACAATTTTGTTTTTAACAGATCAAGTTAGTCAACATAAACGCGACTGACATTGTTGATGGAAGGCCGTCCATCGTCCTTGGCTTAATATGGACCATCATCCTGTATTTCCAGGTAACACCCATGTTCATGTTAGAACGTGATTGGTTGTTCCAAAGACCGTCGCCAAGCTTCGCTGTAACAGAGTCTGCTCACTCTGCTTCCTGCAGATCGAGGAGCTGACCAGTAACCTGCCGGCCATCAGGTCGCTGTCCAGCAGCACCTCATCTGTAGACAGCAAGGCCAGCTCTGAGATGGCCAGTCCGCCCATGAAGAGGAAGGTGGTGACCAAGTTCCAGGGTAGCGCCAAGAGAGCGCTGCTCAGATGGGTGCAGCATGTAGCATCCAGGTGCGTCTTCACAACGGGGATCGTGCTGTTGGTGATTCACATGCCTGGAGATTGAGGCACTCTAGTATGATGGCGGTGCATGTGTTGTGTCTGGCCTTCAAAGAGCCATCTGTTGTCAAGAGACTGTGCATGTTCTGTGCTAGAAGACATCCAGGCATGGAGACTGTCATTTAGCTGTGCATTTTTGGGGTTTTAAGGCACCAGCTCCTTGAGATAGACTGTAAATTGAGTATTGACTGTGTTTGAATGTATCTTACTGGAGAAACGGACTTCAGTTGGGGTCTATGCAAACCGTCACTGTTCAATGAAAACCTTGTATGTCCAGTTTTTGACGATTGTGAATGAATGGAATTCACTAATCTACTAATAGCGTTTGACATCTAATTGACCAATGAAAAGATGTTTTACGAAATCATTTATTTGACTATCATTTATCTTGGTACTATGTAACATTATGTTCTCATTACGTTGTTTTAGATTTATTTTGTAAAGTATTTTCTTGGAAAGTCATTTTTTTCATGCTCCTGAAATAAAGGATTTTTGGAGATACTTTTTAGTTTTCATTGAACAGTGACGATGTACTGTGTTTGAAGGCTTCTGAACAGAGAACCACAGACTATTCTGGTAAACTGTGCATTGATTGTGTTTGCATGGTGACCATCCAAAGACACCTGGCCATCGAGGTGAAGGACTTTGGGCTCAGCTGGCGAAGCGGGGTGGCTTTCCACTCGGTCATCCATGCCATCCGTCCGGACCTGGTGGACATGGAGCTCGTGCAGAAGAGGACCAACAGGGAGAATCTGGAGGAGGCCTTCTCCCTGGCGGAGAACGAGCTCGGCATTCCGCGACTGCTGGATCCAGAAGGTACCATGAAGTTTGCTGTTACCAAAAAATTTAAATCATACTTACTAGCACTTTATTCAGAAAATGAAATTTTCAAACAAGAACCAAAGATTTCATTTTCAACGCACAACTATCTCTGGGGACCAAATCGACACACAACATGTCAACTTATGCTATTTCCTCGAAGAAAAGACAGATGTAACTAACTTATCTACATAAAACATCCCGGGAATTCCATCTGACGACATCCACCCCTCCCATTCTCATTATCAGAATTCACGTGTTATAGACGCAAGCAAGATCTATGTTACAGTTACATTATATGTCATATTAAGACCATCTGGTAGTATAGCTTTACAATTAAGGTAACTGAGACTTGCGGTGATGGACTTGGATTGGAGACAAGAGGGGTCCCCAGATCACGTCTCCCAAAAAGACCTTATTGCTTTATCCTTAAGCCTGATTATGTAACCCGAGTTCTCCTGTAAGACATCCTAGTGTGTAAAGTGTGAAATATGAGACCGTAAACATACTCAGGGTCCGTGGGTTGTAGTTCACGCTCGCCAGTCCATCCCGCCTCACCCGCCGCACGCTTCCCTGCTGCTCCGAGCCCGAGCCGATCGGCAGCCGAGCCGCACGGTGTCCGTCCTCATGCTGTGGCTGGCAGAGTCATTATGCACCAGAGCATATTTTATTCACAGCACAGGAGGGATTAATTTGGCCAGAGCAGCACAGTGGGAGACGAATCTCCAGACTTAAGCCCAGTGGTGACAATTCGCTGGTGCTCTTATGTAACAGCTCAAGGAAAAGGGACAATTTGAGAAGTGTTTGCGTTTAAATTTTGGGGATTAAAGAGGTGATGTGATTTATATGTTCTAAGTTCTGAGGTGTTAGTTTTATGACCAGAAGGGCCTATCGATTTTTCCACAGTGGAAGGTTTTAAGAAATTTCTACTACAAAGAAATTAATTTGGTGTACACATCTTATGTACTGTCTGGTTATTTAATTTCAATGAAATCCTTAATTATGTTTTGAAATGATATTATTTAAAATGTGTTGTCAGGTGTCAGACTTGTTTTTGCTGTTTGTCCCAATAAAATATTTCTCTCCCTGTCCTGGGAGAATTTGGGGATGGTGCTGCTGTGTAGGTTTCAGAAATTCACTTTTAATGTGACTTTCTGTATTCACGAAATGCAAGCTTTAAGTTCAGAACAGGTGTCACGTTCAATGCAGGCTCAGAGCAAGACAGCACTGCTATGAGGCGGAAAACAGAGTCTGACTTGAAACAGCTGACCAAAGATATGGAAACTGTACTTTAATTTCTGGTATTGTTATTATTATTCTGCACATTTTCCATGTACATATATCCATATTAAAGGATGTGTTTCCTCTCCCTGCAGATGTTGACGTCGACAAACCGGACGAGAAATCCATCATGACCTACATCGCCCAGTTCCTCAAACATTACCCTGACCTCCATGACAGTGAGACAGATGGACAGCAAGAAGAGGTATTTAACTCTGATTTTCCCAAGGAGTCAGTACTTCACGTTACCATTTTTAATGTTCTTTCCATACTCCAGTCACCTCATGCACAAAAGCCTACATTTGACCCATTGTTATTAATGTAGTTATTACTGGAAGATGCCTCAGCTGTGAGCACAGTGTACAGGTGTAATGCTTAAGATATGTGTCTTTATGAAACAGTTCCAAGGGCATATTCTGCACACAAGAATAAAAAAAACTAAGAATTTCAAGCATTTGAGAAGCTGTTTCAATATTAACTGTTCTATATTAAATTAGTTCTGTATTAAATCTGCAGTTTGACAAATATGAGGCAGCTCAGTGAGATCAAGCAAGGTGAATGCTTAACATACTTCCACTAATTAGCGCCATTTATTGTTAAATACAAATAGACAGCCCCATTGCAACATGGGTAACACACAGGTTTTTTGTTAGTAGTCCGAATATGACAAATCCATCGTGAAGTCTTTTAATTTCTATCCATCTGTGTTGTCTGGCTTTCTCTCCATCGTCTGTCTCGCACTCTCATAGCCGGTTCTTGTGTTCATCCCGACTTTTGCGCTCTCCATCCCTAAGCTGACGGTAAGGCCATGCTTAAGAACATTCCGCAGTCCCACAATGCCGTGCGTTGCCCTGCAGTGTTTCCCGGCATCTCTCTGTGTGTCTCACCCAGTGTCTGCCTTGAGTTTTACTCCTTATTTTTCTTTACATGCAATTTAATATTGGTGCCCCAGGCACAAGACAGCTTTAATATTTTGGCCACAAGTGAAATAAAAAATAAGTGTTAAATAAACGTTATATTTTAAATTAACTGATGCCTTTTCCTAAAAGAAAGTGATTAAACAACAAAAAAAGTCTGCATTTTAAAAGCACAGGTTCATGGTTTATAATACCTATGTTTAACCAACTTTAGCAGATAATCTCATGCACAGTGAATACACCATCCCCTCTTCTGTTGCACCAGTCTGGAATTGCTGTGGTGTGGCTCTGTCGTCCAGTGTGGATTGTGCAGAAACAGCCCATTGGCAGCCATTGTTCAAAAACCTGTGCCCCACCCACAGAGGGAGGACCGCAGGATGCTGAGGGAGCTGAAGACCTGGCTGGACCAGCTGGAACGGGAGCTGCTCCGGGCTCAGGGGGCCGAGGGCAGCTTGCCTGACAAGTACCAGGTGAACAGCGGGAATGGAGGAAGTAACGTCTATCACTGAGTCTGTGCACAGACATGGTCGATCCATTAGGCGACGCAGACCTATGGCACCCAGGGCACCGTCTTCTGAGGCGGCGCCAACTTAGCAAACTGTGAGGGCCGCTTCCCCGGTGCGAGGAGAGAACCATCCCAGACAAAGTGAAAATGGCCGGAGAAGCCTGCCTAACAAGTCACACGGGCTTCGCCGGGCTCTGTCTATGCATATTTGAATTACAGCGGCCTAACAAGGTAGCTGAGGCTTTCTCGGAATGTTCTGAAACATGTAAAGCGGTGGTCCTCTTGGATAAGCCTCGCAAAGACATTTGCTGAGTGTCCTGCTGCCGTTTTGTTTCCTCCAGTAGGACAAACTTGAATACTTCACTTTCATTTGGCTTATAAATAACCACAAGGAGGATTCAGTCAGTTGCCACGGCTCTGTTTCCTCTCTCAGGCCCTGCGGGCAGCCAATCCGGCGTTGTGCTAACGCGGCGTCTTTTCTCAGGCGTTCAAAGGATTCCGGGTGCAGTTCGAGATGAAGAAGAAGCAGATGGAGGGACTGCTGCAGCCCGTGCACAGGGAGGGGAGGCTGTCCTCCGACCAGGCGCTGGTCAAGCAGGCGTGCGAGCGGGTGTCCGCCAGGGTGGGAACTAGCTCGCGTCTAGCTTGCCGCTTTTCAGTACATGCCGTCTCCTTTGGTTTATGTTCGGCTCCCTGTGGTTTTTAGCTCTTAGACTGGCACATCCACCTAGACAAGTCACTTCCTGGCGTGCTGGGTGTCATTGGGGCCTGGCTTCACCGGGGGGAGATGGCGCTCTTCGAGGAAATTTCCATTCAACAAGCCCATGAGGAGACGGCCAACGTGATCCACAGGAAGTTAGAGCAGCACAGGGTACGAAAAAACGACAAACTTTAATTGGCTTGAAACGATGGTTATAAATGTGCTACCTTTAGACATTCGTGCACAAATGCTTTGATTATGTACCTGGAATTACACTAGTGGATAAAATTGTGGAAACAGCTAGCATTTTTAGCATTTCACTTTGAAAATTACTACACAAGTATTTGCAGTAATGTTTATAAATAATCAAAGAATATTATAATAGTGTAGGTCGGAGTATTGACAAAGGTTATTGTTTCGATAAATTGTGCGTAAACAGGAAGTGTTAAAAAGTCTGGAGGGACACAAGCCCGCCTTCCAGCAGATTCACAAGGATCGCTCGGTCAATGGGGTCCCTGTACCTCCCGAACAACTTCATGACATGGCTGAGAGGTGAGCCCAAAATGAACGCATCAGCCCACCCATCATAAATTTATTAGCTAGCATGTATCTCTGACTACAGACGGAACATGCTCAACAGAAAAGCTTTTCCGTTGGCAGATACAACTACGTGTGCACGTCGTTCCAAGTCCATATGATGAAACTGGACTTCTGGGAGATGAAGTATCGCTTGATGGCGTTTCTGATACTGGCCGAGGCCAAGCTGAAGTCCTGGATCATCAAATACGGCCGAAGAGAGTCGGTTGAGCTCCTGCTACAGAATTACATAGTGAGTGGTCCGTGATTGGTCTGTTGACTTGTGATCTGTTCCTATTGGCTGATCTGTGTTGTGCGTGCCCACAATCAGCTTGTAAGGTCCTTCTCATTCGAAATAGTCGTTCATCGAGGGACAGAAGTTCTTCGAGCAGTATGAGACAACCTTCCACATTCTGAAGCAGGCAGCTGAGGTCTACCTCAAATCTGATTGCTCAGGTAAGTCTATTCACTTTCGACTTCCATTTCAGCTGGTTTTATTTTTTGGCAATGCCGGCTGCATGTTTTTAAGCATGGTAAATAAGCGCTAGTAACTGGTTAACTAATGCAGTTCATCCATTGCTGTAAATAATATGTAAGTAATAATTGTTTGACATTTAATGTAATTGTCTTCATAGTGACTCTCATTGGTGATCTCGCCATGCATCTCTAATAAATTTTAGGCCACAACTGTGTAATTCGGTCAGGGGAGGTAATAGCAGGCTAATAATGAATGTCATGCTATAGGATTTAGGACTTAGGATGCAAACTGATGAAAATGGGTGCAAAACTTTACAAACACGATCCAGTTTTGTATCTTGTCTTATTAGCGCATTGTGGATCTTCTGTGCATGGTAATGCCCATACTTCTCTTTCCCCTGATTATAAACATGTTAAAGTGAATTGGAGTTAGAATTGTCTGAATGTGCATGTGAATGGTGTGTGTGCCCTGCGATGGGTTGGTGCCCCATTCTGGGTTATACCCTGCCTTGTGCCCTGCGATGGGTTGGTGCCCCATCCTGGGTTATACCCTGCCTTGTG